CCTTTCTCCTGCGGTCACCTTCGAGCCCATCCTGACATTGAGTTCCTGTTTAGTCCTGGTTTAGTCCTGGTTTAGTCCTGGTTTAGTCCTGGTTTAGTCCTGGTTTAGTCCTGGTTTAGTCCTGGTTCAGTCCTGGTTCAGTCCGTGGCGTATACAGCGCAAAAGTTTGATATAATCTTGGGTTAACGGGCGGGTGTGGTGCTGTACTGCGTGGGCGCGGGTCTCCAAAAACTGACTTAGGTAGGACTCTGCGCTCTTGGGCTCCATTACGGAATAAATGAATCTTTCGTTTGTTACATAAAAAAAGAGGAAAATAACGATGACAACAGCTTTAAATTTTAAGAAGGATGCAAAAAGGGTTGTAATTGTCCTGTCTGAGAAAAGTGTATAAAGTGTGTGGTGAGGGGTTTTACAGTCTTAAAACAGATATAATCATTGTAAAATATAAAGATGACTACCTCGTGGATTTCACCTATAGCGGGTTATTTTTAGAATGTAACACCTGCGACGAGAGACCAGTGTACATCCTTAAACTGTAAAGAAATTATTAGTCGACGAATACAAGCTGTGGTCAACCAAGACACCATCAGCCAATTAACTGACTAAATGACTACAGGTCTACAGCCCTAAAACCTGCTGATCTCCATAAAGATGTAGTCACTCTTCCTGAAATGTTCCACAATATAGCATTAAACCATTATTACTCTTGGATTTTATAGTAGTTTTATTGCTCAAAGATACCTTCAATATTATCCATTCCTACTGTAAGCGGGCTTGCCTTTCCACAGGTTTGACCTATAATTTGCTATTGTGGGGAAACTTGCTTGTCTGTATGGAGATCAGGGTTCCCATCCTTTTGCACTAACAAAATTTCAAAACTTTTTCATGACTTTTTCATGACCTGAAGTGAATTTTAGACTTTACAGTACCTGCATGTGTAGAACTGATGAGACTTTTAGGGCTAAATATGAAATGTTAACTCTTTCCACTCACCTAATCCTGTCAGTGCATTTATTGTCGTCACTTAAAAAAAAAAAAAAGTTTTTAAGTGTGCTAAGTTTTACGTTCGTGTGGAAATTTCTTAGTTTATTTCTTAGTGTTTTGTTTACCTTTATTCCTGCATTTTTCTTGGTTTTATTTTTGTTACTTCCCTCACCCCAAACGAGCTGGGTCGTAACACTTCATGAGAACTTAACAGAACGCTGGAGTTGAGTGAAAGAGATACTAAAATTCCATGACTTCTCCATGCATGGAAAATGACATTTTCAATTTCCGTGACTTTTCCAGGATTTCCATGACGTGGGAACACTGGGAGGTGTAAAGGTTTAAGGCCATGCTGTGGAAAATTCTAACACTTGATGCAGATGGGCAGGTCTCACCTTAAAGTGTTAGTATGTAACTTTCTGAGGGTGGAATGTCAGCTGCATGATTGCACTGAAATAGAAACTTGGAGACAGATACATGTCCATGGAAGCAGGAAGAGGCCCTCCTCTAGGCCAAGTATGAGTCAGGTCTGTAGAGATGCAAGCCCACTCACAATAAGGACGCATGTTTTTCTAGGTTTTTCTGTCCAAAAAACTCATCCATACTCAAAAACAGGCTTTAATGTCAGTCTATTTTTTGGCTATAAAGTTACAAAATATAGCTTTGATGCAATTGCAATGTGTGAGTTAAAACACACTAAAAACGTGCTTGCATGTTTTCATGAAGTTGTATCACTTCTTTACAGCAGCGTCCAGGTTTTGTGAGAAGCCCGAGCAGTGGGCCGGTGACAGGGGCAGGCTGAATATTTGCGACATAAAGAATGAGCCTAAACTCAATAGTGCCGTGACTCTGAGATGAAAAGAGGCAAATAAAAACAGGTCAGGGCTCTTCAGTTACAGCAGCCTCAGCCTCCTGTTTCTCCTGGTTAAACACAATCAGTGTGGGAAATCAAGCGGCGTCAAAAGGAGCACAGCTGTGGAGATGCTCGCTCAGGCCACCGTTGCCATAGAAGTTAAGAATAAACGCAGTCACAAATGAAGCTGTTGATGTACGCAAGGTGGATTTTATCATTTAATATACAGGCAAACACTTTTAAAAGTTTAAGGTTTAACTTTTCTGGTGGAAGGTCCGTCAAATGCTTTTCACAATGGAACTGTTATTCCCATGTCTGAAATGTTTCACAGTATGGCCTGATTTATTTATTTAGTTAGTTAGATAGTTATTTATTTAATTATTTAGTTAGTTTATTTAATTAAACTTTATCTTCATAGTGACCAAACCAGACCAAGTTACAGGTCAGGTCTGCAGTCAGAATGTGTTTTTCTAGGTATTTTTGAGATATAAAACCCCCTGTAATTTAATAAAAGTAAGGTAGAGCTCTTTAATGTCATACTGTGGAACATTTCAGACAGCGCAATGACATCTCAAGCAGGTGATGGACCCCCAACCAAAAACTAAGACAGTTTTACCTTTAAACACCTTTAAAGAAGAGGTACTATGCAAAATCAGTTCATTCCCTCAACAAAAACATCCCTGAAGAGGTTGAATGTCATCCATGCATGTTTCAGTAATTTAGTGATCTCTCCTGGGCCCTATTTAAACCCTCTTTACGGTTAGCTGTGAGATTCTGTCCACTGCTCAGCTCACAAGCCTACGTCACCCACACTCCCACACGGCTATTCTCCATAAATACACAAAAACATGACACTAAACTGTACACAACAACTTAACGAGACTGATGCGATGTGCAGTCATTTCATTGGCGTCAAAAACAGAAGTGAAACTCATAAAACATGTTACTACTACCACTGTTTTCGGCAAATATAACATCATTCAAAACAGTAATATGGTGATGCAAATGTGTTATGTGTTACCAGTTAATGCCCCAGAGAGGTAAAATACTCTTTGAATTGAATGTTCGCTCATTTGGAGAGGAACAAGGGGTTTTTTCAAAATTTGCAAAAACAAGTCTTTAAATTTAAGGGGAGGGGGGATACAGATGAGTGTGTCCCAAAAGTATTATGGCAATCCATCAGAAGTGTGCTAAAACACGGTTGACGGTGTAAAATTAAAAACACTAGCGCACTGTAAGTTTGATTTATTTCTTTTTTGGTGAGCTCCGTGTCCTTTAGCTGACTTTGTTGACTACTTTTTTATGACAATACGTCCACAAGGTTCTAATTTGGCATCTACAAAACGATCATTATGCATTATTAATCATCCCATTCTTAGGAAGAGCGTTGACGCAATCAAGTTAAATCATCAATCTGAAAACTTTTCTATATATATATATATAAAAAAACAAGCAAACAAAAAAAATGAACTATACACTATATTAGAGACAATATGTCAAGTTAAAATAAATTACTTGGTTGAACTAGGGTTGTTATAAGAAAAATAAAAAAAAAAATCATAAATTATATCAAAACTGGTTCCCAACTAACTAGTTTTATCAGAAAGAGTATAAGAACAAAACGTATTCTCAAAACTCTAATTTAGCATCTATAAAACTATCATTACACATTATTAATTATCTCATTCTTAGGAAGAGCACTGATGCGATCAAGTGTCAAAGTGTCCATCTGAAATTGTCCTTTGTATTAAAATAAACAAAACAAAAACAAAAGCTAAACTATATTAAGACAACATGTGACATTCAAAATAAATGACTTCCTTGAACCAGGGTTGTCAGAAGTATTGAAAATCAGGTACTAAATGATACAGACACTGATATCCAAACTAACTAGTTCTATTAGAAAGTGTTTTGCATCTACAAAACTATCATTATGCATTATTAATCATCCCATTCTTAGGACGAGCACTGACGCAAACAAGTTAAAGCGTCAATCTGAAACTGTTCTCTGTATATAAAAAAGAAAAACAAAGGCTGAACTATATTATACCATATTATTATATAAACATGTGAAGTTAGAAATAAATTAATTGTATGGTTGTCAAAATATTGCAAATCAGATACTAAATCCAGACTAAAATTGGTATCGAAACCAGAACCAGTGTAAGATCAAATGGTATAATAAACAAATACTATTGTTGTGTTGTTACACTATTATATAAAAAAAGAGATTTCTAAACTAAAATTTTTGAGTATTAAAACCAATATTGAGGATTGAGTCTATTCTTTAGTTTTGAAATTTTACTATCATGACAACACCAGTTTGAACCCATCAACTACAAATTTTGAGGCCATTTCAGAGACATGCTACAAAGCAGTCACTCCCAAATACCAACGCCATGAAGTAAAAAATGACCTATTGTTTTCTTAGGCTCAAAGAGCAACAACAAACTGCTACTCTCAACTCTGCTACAAAAACAACATAAACTTAAAAGGTGCATTGTGTAAATTTTCTGGAGGACGGTATATCAAATGTGTCAGAGATGTTGCATTGTCATGGAGATGTTATTGCTTTGTTTAGAATGTTTCACAGTATGGCTTTAAACCTTTTCTATCATCATGAAACACAAACCAGACCAAGTTACAGGTCAGATCTGTGAGATGTAACCCCGCTCACAGTCAAAAGTTTTCCTGAGTATTTTTGAGCTATAAAACCACATGTAAATGAATAAATGTAAAGTAGAGCTGTTTAACGTCACACTGCGGAACATTCCAGGCAGACCAATGACATCTCCATAGAAACAAACAGGTGCCGGAGCCCAAACCAAAGAGCTGCAGAATGCCCAAATAACAATAAGCTGCTACAAAAACAAGCTGCTACTCCATGTACTCAACCAAAGAAACAAAGCAAACTTTTCTGGTGGAGCGTCTGCCACCTGCTCGTCTCCATGGAGATGTTACTGCTTTGCCTGAAATGTTCCATGGTATCACATTAAACGTTTCCATCTAGCATTTATTCCTTGAGAGTGTTTCTACTGCTCAAAAATACAATCATTCCTTCTGTGAAAAGGAGCGCCTCTAGACAAAGCAATAACACCTCCTCGGAGAAAAGCACTCGACGGACCCTCGAGCAGGAAAGTTCCACAGTGATGCTTTAACTTACCAAATGAGCGTTCTCTTTTGCCTCTTGCACGTGCTGCACCTGGGGTTCAGCGACTACTTTCGTGTCCTGGTCAGAAGTCATGAGCCGTCTGCTTCTTGGCTCCTCAGGGAGAAGTCGCAGTGTCACCAGGTAAGCTACGGCAAGGAGGAGGGACAAACAAAAGAAGTGTGAGTTTCAACACCGAGGAGAGCATTCAGAAAGAAGCCTGTCTGACACCTGAGTCACCATCACTGTTTCACTAAGGCTAAGGTTAATCTAAATCACACAGTATGATACAATTATGATACGATATTTACTGTGATATTGTGGAGATGCTAAAAGAACTGAACAAATGATACTTTTTCCTTTTAAAAGGCCTTGATTAGAGTCATAATGTCCAAGTCCAAAGAAGATAGAACAGTTCTTTATGACAGCTATTTCTTCATGTTGTCGGCATTGAAATGGAACAAAAGGTCACGGTCTATGTACTTTCCTCCATTTTGTATCTGTAGCTGCAATAAAACAATGCATTTAAGCAAAGAAGTTTATAATTCGATATATTGTGATGGCCCACGATATTATTGTGAGGGCTCTGACGATACGTGTAACAATAACCGAAATATTGTGATATCGTATCTTCAAAGTTCTCACTATAATATCATGGACCATCACAATATATCGAATCACAAGTCTCTTTGCTTAAATGAAGAGTTATGGTGCAGCAATAGCTTAAAAAAAAAGCCAGAGCGAACTACATAGACCATGATCCTTTGCTCCATTTCAGAAGAAATAACAGTTCTAAGCACTTTCGTCTTAGTTCTTTGGATTAAGTCTTGTCAAGGCATTTTAAGACGATAAAGTCGCATATTAATAGTTTTGTTAGCCTCCAAAAAATATCACAATAAATACCGTACCGTGAGATGTATATCGTGAAAATATCGTACCGAGAGATGTATATCGTGAAAATATCGTACGTGAGATGTATATCGTGAAAATATCGTACCGAGAGATTTGGATATTGTCACATCCTGATCGTGAGCCTCCCCACCATATCGTGAGCTTTCCCATGATATTTCAATAAATATTGTACCATGAGGTTCATACTGTGATGATATTGTATCGTGAGACTTGGATTTCGTTACACCCCTAGATATCACGCTATTTCAGTTATTGTTACATCCCTACTGTTATCATGGCATCCTTATGTTTATCGCATTAGCGTACCAACTCATGTTAAAAAAGACACATCTAAGAGCAATTATCTGACCTATTCAATTTGCGAGTTACAGAGATGGGACAAGATCTCATGCCTCAAGATCTCACAAGACAAAATTGCCACAAGATTGTCCAGTTTTTCTCACATGTGCACAAAAAAAAAAAAAGAGTTAAGAGCTGGTAAGTTATACAATTTGAGAAAAAAGCAGTACTACAATGATGTCAGAAAATAACAGATATTAACACAAAGAAATTCAGAAGGTAGAATTTGGGGTTTTTACTCGTGGCGAGGGACAGTGGCGCTGCTACAGCTCTTAACTGTCAAAGGGTCACTTTCAACCCGCTGCATATTTATTGAATCACACAGGTTACAAGAATAAATGGGCGGTTACATTTTTCTATCACAGTAAAAAAGCACAGAAAATAAAAGTGTGTATTCTGTGTGTGTGAGCCAGCTGCTGAGGTGTAGGGAGGGATGTGCGTAGGGAGGACTGCACGTGTGGAAGATAACAGATAATGAGGAGCTGGTTTTCCCGTGAGAAATACCCTTTGATAATAATAAGACAAAGAAGCATTTATACAGCACTTGAATAAACTCTTTAACAAATGACAAAGTATTACATAAATTAAATGAAAATAGTGAAGCCAAAAATTGTGAAATGGATTACACTGCTTATTATATTACAAATGATGTCAAAATCTCGTCTTGTCCTCGTGGACCCGATCTCGTGGTGCGTCTCATTTCGTGAAACTTGTGTCTTGTCCCACCCCTAGTAATTTATAAGGTTACCAGCTCAGAGTTTGCATTTCTAGCACCTAGAACTAGAAGCAGTATCATAGTAAGACTGACGCATTGTGAAACTAATACATCATCTGCTTGCATTTCAGAGCATATTTACAGAGGTGTAAAAGACACAGATAAAACAGGAAATGGTGTTTGCAAAAGAATAATTTCACCACTTTTCCCACCTTTGCTGTCACTGTCCAGGCACTACAGGTGGAAATGATCACTAGTCCTACAGCCTGGTACAATTCAACTTTCTCGTTCTCGTTCAGATTCATGTAGACTGTGCCTCTCAGTAAAGGTGCACTGCTCCACATTTCTGCCTTGAGGATCCACCACCTGCTTGTCTCCATGGAGATGTCATTGCTTTGCCTGTAATGTTCCATGATATGACATTAAACGTAGCAATCGCATTTACTCATCGCCTGTTTGTATTGCTCAAAATTTCAGTCATTTCTTCTGTGAATAGATAAGTTCAATCTATACTCTGTAACATTCTAGACAAAGCAATAACATTTCCACGGAGATATCAGGTGGCGAACACTCCACCTTCACCAGAAGAGTTTAATTTGGTTACTCAGTGCACCTTAAAATAACTACCGTATTTTCTGGGATATTGGGCGAGCTCTTAAGCCTCCAACCCCATCAAAAAACGACTACGTGCCCTATACACGAATCCGCTCGGGTGTCCCAGCACGACTTCAGTAAACTACAAAGCAGAACATGCAAACACGCAAACACGCATGGAGCAGACAGCGACTGCACAGCGAAAAACACACGCAGCCACACTCATCACTCCACGCAGATGAGGAACGAACCGAAAAAGCAAGTGCGATGTGCCACTTCTAGACACAACTGAACAACTGAGTCACTGCAAACACGCCGACAATCCGTTGGTCCCAGACAGCACCCTCCCTACACGCCACAACTGAACAAAGCCCAGAGTCACCGTGAACGCCACAAACAAACAAAACCACTCACCCATCACACTGTTGTGTTTCCTTTATAATCCAGTGTGGTTTATTTGTGAAAAAAGTTTGAAAATAGACCATTTAATGACAGTGCGCCTTATAATCCAGAGCGCCTTAATAGAGGGGAAAATACGGTAAACTGTAATGTTAATAACAACCAGCATGCTAACAGCAAACTCTCCGGTTTACAAACAATAAAATGCTTTACACGCATCAGGCTCATTTTGATCTTAAGAGTTGCTTTTACTATATATCTGTTCTATGACAAAACGTTTTTATTTTATAACATGAAATAATGGAATGAACGACCCTTTTTGTGTAGATTGCAATGTTCTCTAGCATTTCTTCACTGCACTGGTGTATACAGGCCTAGCTCCCTCTGCTGGTGTTGTGTGTATATAAAAATATTTAACACAACTAAGGTTTGAAGGAATTCTATACACCCATAAATGATTCTAAGTTATCTGCAGGAAATACCAATGTTTCAGTAACGCGCAATAGAGTTAAATCACTAAATAAAGTTAAATCACTTAGTAGCTAACCCCATTCGTGTTAGCATAGCTCTGATAATCTGCCAACAATTGTGCCCCTGTCTGTGACCGGGGCTTCTGTGTTTTCAGACAAAGCAGAAAGAGTGGCCAAAGCCGCTGACCTTTGACCCCAACAGTGATCCCAGCACATGGCGGAGACGGGGGCTTCAATCAATGTATGCTTATCACGGCGTCTACCAAATATGTGCAATAGGAACGCATCCGTCGAGCTCTTTCAGTTCTGATACTGATCGATACTTTGGCTTTAAAAATGCACTATGTAACTTTTCGGTTAGGGATTCATCACCTGCTTGTTTTTATGGATATGTCATTGTTCTGCCTGGAATGTTCCACAGTGTGACATTAAACAGCTTTACCTTACATTTATTCAAGTCTGATTGGTTTTATTGCTCAAGAAAATCAAGCATTCTGACTGTGAGCGGGGTAGCGTCTCCACAGACCTGACCTGTAACTTGTTCAGGTTTGGTCTCCATGAGGATAGAAAGGTTTAATGTCATACTGCGGAACATTCTAGACAAAGCAATCTCCATGGATAAAAGCATTGGACGGACCCTCAACCAGAAACGTAATGCAATGCACTTTTAAGTATCTCACAATACCCGATATTAACCGATACCAGTGTAGGTATGGGAAATTACACTTGTGTTGAGTTATTCAACTGTTATTTATCCTTCAAATCACTACTCAACAGCTTTGTATTAAATTACGAGACTTTATAGGTCAAAATCAGCCTGCAAATAGATTACATTTAATTAAAGGCCCAACCAGGATATCGTCTTTAATAGGGCTGGGAATCATAAAGAAGTTGTCGATACGATACATACCTCAAAACATAAGCCACAATATGATACATATCTTGAAACAGTGAGGGTACGATTCGGTACAATTCGATATATTTCCAATCGATTTGATATGATGCAATAAAAAATAAAGTCTAAATCATGTCTGTGATACTAAAAGTCTTTGTTAAACCACTTCATATGCAAAGTTCATATGAAACACAAACATTTTAATCATCAAAACTAAAAATGTGAGTTTCCTTCCACTAAACAAGCAACAAAACTGTAGCTGTAACAAAATAATTTAGTAAAATATACCAAAAAATACACTTTGCGATATATCAATACAGCAGCCCACAATATTGATACTGTACAGCACATTAAACTAAAGGTTATGTCGATATTTTGATATTTTTGTACACTCCTAGTCTTTACCGATATTATGGAACCGATATCAGATCCAGCAAGATTTTCAGTATCAGCCTATTCAATACCAGTTTCTGTATTGGTGCATCCATAATTTGCATTTACGGTTGTACAAAGTTAACAAAATATCAGACAAGGCAACATCACAATTCACTTTTAACACAATCATTTCAAAGACGGGGCACCTGATTTTAAACGGTGAAATAAAGAAGTAGGTATTTAAATCTTTATTACTTGTTCCTGGCAACAACGCTCATGTCTCTAGACCCATCACGATAATTACTATATCAACTTCACAATGTTTCTTTTTATTCAGTATTTATCGCGGGTGCATTTCCTTTGCAGTACTGGGGAATTTTTTTCTATATGATAAGATCAGAGCCATAAAACGTTGGCTTGAATCACTTTTATGACTCATTATTGACAAAC